AAAATAGTAAAATAAAGAATTTGAAATGAAAATTTACATTTAGAAACAGTTTTCGGACGTTTCTTGAAGAAGGAAACTGAAAAATGGATAATTATTGGTTTAAGAAATCGCTCAAAAAAGAACTCTTAAAGAAAAAGAACCAAAAAAAGGTGATTTTGGAAGATGTTACTAGAGAAAATGTTGAAATGGATGAGTGCGCTAGATTGGATGCGTTTACAGATAAAGAGCACAAAGTAAAGATTGAAAAATATTCGAATTTGATACTGATTTGAAATCCAAGTATTTCAGGCTGTAAAAATGGAGATTTTCGTGTGCCAGAAGGGGGTTTTTCGGGCCCACAAAGTACACAGAAGTTGTAATTGTAAATCTCAGCACGCCAGAGGGGGTTGGTTTACAAAATTGCGCGCAAAGTACATGAAAAAGAGAGTTGAAAAAAGTCTATTATGACTAGAAAAAGCAAAAATTATGTAGATTTAGCACTTTTTTGAAGGGAATTGGGCTGAAAATTTGCACCAGGGGGTTTTCTGGGTCAAGGAATTCGATTTTGTTATTAGTTTTTAAAGAAAAACTGCTCTATTCTTGGAAATTTCATTTGGTTTCATTCGGCTTTCATCCGGCCCAAGTCTAAATTTACCCTCAAACAATCGCTCATATCTTGTCACTAGTTTGTTTCTTTCTGTTCGTTTAGGTATCAAATTAAAGTAGAGAAAATGGGTGTTTTGTTGGTATATATGACTTATTTCTAGCATTAACCAGTGTTTAGAACAAAGTGATTGAAAATTAGCCAAAATCAGCAAAAAGTCTAAGTTTACTCTCAAACAATTGCTCATATCTCGACACCAGTTTGTTTGTTTTTGTTCGTTTAAGTATCAAATTAAAATAGAGAAAATGGGTGATTTTTTGTGATATAACACTTATTTTTAACATTAACCAGTGCTTAGAAAAAAATGATTGAAAATTGGTAAAAATTGACTCGAAAATCGGCTTGAAAATTGGCCCTTTTTTGCTATTTTTCAATCACTTTTTTTCTAAACACTGATTAAAGTTAAAAATAAGTGTTATATCACGAAAAATCACGCATCTTCTGTACTTTAATTTGATACCTAAACGAACAGAAAGAAACAAACCGGTGACAAGATATGAGCAATTGTTTGAGCGTAAACTTAGACTAAGCAGATTTTTCATCATTTTTCAATCATTTTTTTCTAAACACTGATTAAAGTTAAAAATAAGTGTTATATCACAAAAAATCACGCATCTTCTCTACTTTAATTTGATACTTAAACGAACAGAAAGAAACAAACCAGTGTCGAGATATGAGCGATTGTTTGAGGGTAAATTTAGACTACGCGACGTTCCTCTTTTCTTTGGTAGCTGTCGTCTGAAAGATAAAAATAACATTGTCCTGAATATGTGAATTTGAGTAAAAAGAGATTTAAACCAACATTTGCAACAATCCTAGAAAAATTGGCGATAAATTAAAAGAAAAAAAAATCGTTTTCAAAGTGATCGCTCGTTTTCTCAGTCTTTTCTTCTTTTCTTTTCAAAAAAAATCTCTCATCGTTCCCATTTTTTCGAAATAATCAATTACTTTGACATGTCTTTTGCGCTTTTTGATCGCTTTTGCGCTTTTTGCGGAAAAAGTTTCCTTCTCACACGATGAGAAAGAAAAAAAGGCAAAAACCGAAAAAAATTTCTTGTGGAGGTAAATGTTTAGAGGCAAATCTCAAAATAGAAACGATTTTTGTGATTGGAAAGTGATTTTTTTGTAATATTTCTGGTAATATTCTACTTTGTTAATGTTTTACTGACTCTTCTTTACTGTTTTACTGACTTAGAAATTGAGTAAGTAAATCAAGAAAATGATTAGATTGTGCTAGACGATTACCATTAAATTTCGTGCTTGTTTACGCGATTTGTTTACGCCATTTTACTCTATGCTTTCTCGTAAACGTAGCCTTTCTAGTGCACTGAACAACAAAAATTAATCTATGATCTTTATGAGATGATAAATGATGAGGGAAAGCTACTGTAATCCTTGCCTCGAAGTCTCGTCGATTTAAATCTCATTGAAATGAATTGAAATGAATTGAAATGAAAGAAATAAACAAATAAACAATGAAACAATGAAACAATGAAACAAAACTAAAAAAAACGAAACAAAAACGGATAACCGTAGAGGAAACTGAACTAGTGAAGCTTTAAGTAGAGTTCCGACTCCTAACCACTCAGCTTGCTCAAGCTTTGGCTACTGCTCAAGCTTTGGCCACTCCTCAAGCTTTGGCCACTCCTCAAGCTTTGGCTACTGCTCAAGCTTTGGCCACTCCTCAAGCTTTGGCCACTCCTCAAGCTTTGGCTAATGCTCAAGCTTTGGCTACTCCTCAAGCTTTGGCTACTGCTGTGACCCCTTTAAAGCCTGCTTATGACCCCTTTAAAGCCCCTACAAGGCTTAGATCCATCAAAAATGTTTAATTTTAAGCTAAAAACTTTGAAACCTTGTATTTGATTTATTTCTAGCATTTAGCACGTTAAAAACTTCAGAAAATTCTTATTTTGTGATGTTTCTTTTGCCTCCTGTAATTTTGAAGTAGATCTGATAACTGATCTGAGAGAGTAAGTAGTTATAGCTTTCTCGTGAGTCGGTAAAGCAGGCAAAATACAAAGTATGAAGGAGAAAAGACTGAAAGAATACGGTAGCTTTCCCAAAATGTAGAAAACTTGAGTTGTTGGACTTTGAATCAAATGAGAAGCAAAGCGGTCAAATACACTGATCAAAATAGAAAGGATAGACTGTTAAGAATAGACTTAGGATGTTAAAGATACTCTAACAGGGTTGGAAAGTGTTAAGAATAGACTCTAACAAGGTTAGCAAGTGTTAAGAATAGACTTAGCAGGCCAAAGAGACTCTAACAAGGTTAGCAAGCCTTAAGGATAACTTTGCACAAAAATTAACCCAAAAAGAAACCGTATCGGGATGGAATTGATAGAAATTATTCTTTCGTTCTTTCCTTCTTTCTTTCTTTCCTTCTTTCTTTCCTTCTCTCATTCTTTTTTTCCTTCTCTCATTCTTTCTTTCCTTCTTTCTTCCTTCCTTCCAATCTGCGCCTTTTTACAACTTGAGTGATGGAAAGAGTGGGTAATCTCTCAGGTCAACATCCATTCTCCACCCGATTTTTCTTTTCATCTTTACCCTTTTTCTCTTACTTAACTCTATTCAATAAAAGAAAAGTGGGAGTGAATTTTGGGAAAAATAAGAGTTAAAGGAAAACTTTATAGATCTGAGAGATCTTTGGGTACTTTTACTATCGTAATCTTATTGGCTCGATTAATGTAATGCTGAAGTACAATATTCTAATCAAAGCACAGTACTCTAACCAGTTTTTATTAAGATTTTGATAGTAAAAGTAACGAGGTTAAGACTGAAGTGGGCAAAAGTAAGCGATTCGATGAGTTTTCTCGATAATTCCGTCGTTTCCCCGACTTTTCTCATTGAAACTGAGTCTAATTAACGATAATAGATGGAAATGTATCGAGAAAACTCATCGAATCGCTAAGTGTAAATAAAATTGAACTTTGAAGTTGATGGGTAGCCTTAACACCTTGTTAGTGAAGGTATTCTAATAATTTAGAGAAATTCTAATAACTTATCCCATCATCAGGGAACTCTATTAGACAAACTAGATCTCTATAAGTCTTATGAGTTCAAACAAGCAGTCTCTATGAGTTCAAACAAGCATTCACCGTGAAACCGTGTAATCCTTTCCACTTCTGACAATGAGTATCAAATCGTAGACTATTTCTCTAAAGCTTCGTTAACGCTCACTAGTTGTTTGGCATGTGATCACGTTGCTTCTCGAAAAATCCCTGCATTTCGTTTCCGCGGCAATCTCGGAACTCTTCAAGTTCATCCAACGATCGATCCGACATCGCCTGAAAATAAAAATTAAATCTTGGATAGGCAAAAACAAGCAAAAAAAACACCTAATAAGTGAAAAACTCAAAAAAAAACTAAATGGTCAATCAGAGTTGGTAGGAAAGTGTGTTGAAAGGCGCAAATAAGACGTGACGCCGATAAGAAGTGGCGCCGATAAAACGTAGCGCCGATGAGACGTAGCGCAGATGGGACGTATCGCAGGGTGGAACGTAGCCCAGATGGAACGTAGCTTTGCTTCTCTTAGCTTTGCTTTGCTTGTCTTTGCTTCGCTTCTCTTAGCTTTGCTTTGCTTGTTTTGCTTTGTTTTGCTTTGCTTTGCTTTGTTTTGCTTTGCTTTGTCTTGGCTTTGCTTTGCATTGCTTTGCATTGCTTTGCTTTGCATTGCTTTGCATTGCTTTGCTTTGCATTGCTTTGCATTGCTTTGCATTGCTTTGCATTACTTTGCTTCTCTTAGCTTTGCTTTGCTTTGATTTGCTTTGCATTGCTTTGCTTCTCATAGCTTTGCTTTACTTCGCATTGTTTTGCTTTTCTTCTCTGAGCTTTGCTTTGCTTTACTGTGCCTTGCTTTTCTTCTCTTAGCTTTGCTAGCTATTTCTGAGCTCATCTATAACGTTAAATTTCTAAATCACTGTTACAAAAATCTTTTTTCTTTTAGAAACGACAGCTACAAAGTGATGGTGGAGGCTCGTCTCGTGGCTCGTGGCTCATTCAACGAAATCCCGAAGTTCTCAAGGAAAAGGTTTGTGGAGTTTTGTGTTTACTATAAGTTATCAAATCTAGAGTAATTCTCTAGCAAAAGTGCTGTCTATTCTAACTGCTTTTCACAGAGAATTGTTCAAATTTACTTTGCGACTTCTAGAATCAACCAATTAGTTGATGATTTTTGACTAAATTGTCGACATTAACTTGAAAACTTCTAGAATCAAGGCTTTTTATCTATTTTTGGTCATTAGTTGCTAGAACACAGGTCAAGATTATCAAGATATCAAGATATCAAGATTTTACTAACTTTTTCCAGAAGCCAGTCGTTCTTGGATATCGATCGATGTGATTTGATGGTGGACCGATGACCGTGCAGGTGGACCGATGCTTGTTCGTGCAGGTGGATCGATGCTTGTTCATGCAGGTGGACGGTGAGCTTTTGTAAAATTTAAATAAAAACTAACAGAAATTTTCCTCTATGCTTACCTTACCCCACTTCTTTAGCAAATGATGGAGCAAATTCTCAAGAAGAAGAACAAAGAAAGCATGGAGAGTACGAGGAAAAAGGTAGAGATTTGGGGGAATTTCATTTTAGAGTTTCTTTTAGGGAAAGCAGAAAGCGGATGATGCGTCAAATGAGCGAGGATTGACGAGGAAAGAACGGGAAAATCGAGGAATTGGCGGTGGAGGAGGATTCGATGATTTGGTCGGTCTTGAGAGATAGGGCTTTTGCAGCTTTTTCCCCAAGAAACTGGTATCCAATTTTTGGTCAATTATCCAACTGAATTCGCCAAAAATTACTATGTCAATTTGTTGGGGATAAAGCAGAATAGTTTTCGATCAAAAGTACTTTAGATTAGTAAGAGAATGTACTTTGAGTCTAAATTAAGTACTATCCAGTTTATCCGCAAATTTGAAAGATCTAACTGATCTTCAAGTCAATGAGAACTGTTTTTTATAGTTATGTATAGTACCTTACCCCTTTTCTTTAGCAAAGTTTTGATATTAGATGACGATATTGGATATTGGAAGTAAATCCGATATTGGATGACGTGGAGATGTTAATGTTAATCGAATAGTTCTTTCAAAATATTCAGCCCATGTTTAGCCCTCAGGATCTAGGATAGTTTCTTGGAATTTTGTATAAGATAAAGCAATACAAGAACTTAATTCTTGTAAACTTCACTTAAATCTTGCAAACTTCATTTAAATCTTGCAAACTTCATTTAAATCTTGTAAACTTAACTTTAAGTTTCAAATTAAAGTCATCTAACTGATCTATTTTATACTTTTTAGCCTGTTAAAGTCGAATGTTTGCCGAATTGAGCCCGAATTGTTTGCCGAAACCCGTTTGAGGCGTTGTCGAACGCGATTGACGCCGTCACGAAGTACATCGAAGCAGAAACACAGCCGAATATCAGAAAGGTATGTGGATTACTGTTTTAGTATCATTTTAGTTTTAGTATTCTTGTTAATCAATACATTTTCCCGTTTAGTTTTCGGTGGCGTATCGAGAGATCGCGAAAACGAAAAGGGAATATCATGTTCGTTTGGGTTTTTAAAAGTTTTGTTTGAAAACTTGAAAACTCGAAACAACTAGCGAGAGTTAACGAAGCTTTAAAGAAATTGGGGTCCGTCAAGAGTTCGCTTTCTGCACGATAATCCTAAACTCCACACTGCAAAAGCCACTCATAGAAAAATTGAGGAGGAGATTGGAAAATTTTGCCTCAGGCACCTTACTCCCTTGTCAGATTATTTATTATTTCGGATTTCGGGGATATGTACAGTTTGATAATCATGCTCAAGTCATAAATAAGCTTCACGCTTATTTTACTTCCAAGGAGCCGTTTGAATTCGACGATGTTATCCAGGATCTACGCAGAAGATGGGAAGAAGTCATTGATAAGAATGGAGAAGTACTACAGCACTCCTATCTTTGCTATAGTACTCCTATCTTTCCTACAGTACTCCTATCTTTCCTACAGTACTCCTATCTTTCCTACGGTACTCCTATCTTGGCTACAGTACTCCTCAGTGCTTGGAAATGAGTACGACAACTTTTAGCAAACATTTTAGAAGACAGAACCAACTAGAAGGAAGTCGAATTTTTAAAATTTCTGAATTCTTTGTTACTTTACTATTTTTTGAACAAAGGCCTTTGATTTTACATGAAATTGGAAAGAAATTGAATCAGAAATCTAGCTTGTTGCTTTTTTGTTGCTCTCAGCGAAATTATCCGAGCAATTTCGATGGATTGGATGAAAAAAGAGAGGAAAAGACTTTGAAACTCTTTTTTTTTTGTCCTGGTTCCTATGTCAGCAATGTTTTCGAGACCCGGGGATGGGTGAATTTTTGCACTTTAGTGGCTCAGAGATCGGGCCGATTGATGGGGACGAAAAGAGGAGGGGCACGTGGACTTTTAGACCCCCTTTTCTCCCATTCTTTTCCATATTTCTCTCCTACTCTTTTATCTTTTTCTTGAAAAGAAATCTATTTTCTGTCGAAATCCCTATCTTTTTCAACTAATTTTTCATTGCTTTTTGTGGAATTTTGTGATGTCGGTTCACTTTTTTCCCTCTCTTTCCCTCTCTTTCCCTCTCTTTCCCTCTCTTTCCGTCTCTTTCCCCATTTTCTCTCATTCTCAGACAATTTCCGTTGCTTTCGACGAAATAGTATATCAAGAATCAGTCCCAGACAGAGTTTAGCTTGAAAATGATGAATGAAACTGTTTTTGAAATGGTTTGGCTTTAGAAAGTACAGTAATCTGGGTCAAAGTGTACTTTAGATCAGTAAGAGAATGTACTTTGAGTCTAAAAATGGCTAAAACATATCCTTTCTGGTGCAATGAACACAGAATAGTGTGCCAGAAAGGTGGTGGTGACGTTTGTGAACACGTTTACGCTTGTGGACAAACTCAATCCGTGTGTGGACAAATTTAGGTAATCAATCCGGCCTTTGAGGGCCCTTTGAGGCCTTTGAGGCCTTTGATAGCAAGTCTAGAGGCCGGATTGATTACCCAACTAATAGAACTTAACAATCTTTGAGTTTTAAACCATTAACTACTAGTATTTACTAGTATAACTACTCCCATTTTTCTATTTCCAATCAATCCCCGATTTGATTAAACATTCAAAGTCTCGCCCGACTAAATTCATTCAATTCCTGACCGATCTCTTGCTCGTAAACAAGTCAAAAAGCGACCAGACACAAAAAAGTCTGCATGTACTTTTTGGTCAAACGTTGAACTGAGAAATGGGGATGTTTACGCCGAATGTCTGCGGAGAAACGGTTCCTTTAGGGAAAGGGAATGGAGGAGAGGCCATTATCGAGGTCAGACGGGTGTACTTTGGAAAAGAGGATTTAAAGTTAACTCTGATAGTTAGCGTTAGAGCTAATTAGACTAACTGAGTCTAGATCTGGCTAGCAAGCAAGGCTAATTAGACTAACTGAGTCTAGATCTGGCTAGCAAGTACAGGAATCTCGCTAACAAGTACGGTTCTTGGTAAAGAGCGAGAGCTGAGCTGTAGGCTATCTAGTGGGCTTGGTTAGACTTGACTGATTACGGTACGTCCATTACAGGATGCCTGGTCTGGCCTAGCTTGGCCAGAAGAGGCCAGGCCACACCAGACGAGGCCAGGTCAGGTCAGAGATCTATCTAAAAAGTGCTGAATTTCCCCTTTAATACCAATCGATCCCATAAAACTTTTTCACTCCGATCCCCCAAGCAAACCTCTCCACAGAACGCCCGCGCAAACCTTGAGCGTCTTGTTGTTTTTGTGGAGGTCATGCGGGCCAAAAAAGACCCCCGGATTTCCAGTTTTTGCGGGAAAATGCCCAGAAATGGATGGGAACGGTGCCAGATTTCAAACAAATCCCACAAATCCTTTTCAGAGTTTTCCCGGAAAGCTGGGATAATGGATTTGGATAAAGATATGAAGATCGACAACATGATGATAACATGATGAAAATGTTTGAGCGTTTGATTTACAGGCACGAGACGTGGTTCAGGAGCTGTACTACCAGTTTCTAGACTACGTCTGGTCAAGGGCTCAGGCCAAGAATCTGAGTCTTGCCCTGGAGTCTCAAGAATCGAGCCTAAGCCTAAGCCTAATTAGCACAAACCCAAATAGACTTAGTGCTAGGCGCTAGCCGCTAGCCTTCGCACTAAGTCCAACCAAACTGAGTCTTGTCCCGGAGTCTTGTCAAGACAACGAGTCTTGTCCTGGAGTCTTCCCAGGGCAACGAATTTTGGAGTTCAGGAGTTCTTGCTGCCCCTGCGGACCGAAATCCTTGGGATGAATCCAAAAATTCACAACGGCTCCCTTCAGCACCCTTTTACAGGCACTTGGGATCCCATTTCGACCGGCGGAGAACCCACCATTTTGGTCAAAATGAGCCGGAATTGGGTTTGCCAATTCTACAGCCGTGATTAGTTTTGGAAAGCGGTGGCCACATGGGGTAGACAACGGATTGGTTACCGGATGACCCAAAATGGACGCTTCCGATTGGACAAGTGAAAAGGGAACTATAGCCGATCTCACTTCAAAAATCGTCACTGGATTTATCAGCAAGATTCAGCACCTGCTCATCGCTCGAATCATTCAAAACGGATGCACAACTTGGCAGAGTTTATGTGAAAAACTGGTGTGAAACAACAATAAGGCGGCGTATATAAGGCGGCATATATAAGGCGGCGTATATAAGGCGGCGTATATAAGGCTGTCTATATAAGGCGGCATATAATGCTCCCCGAGTTCATCAGTGCGCAAGAATGGCCCCAATATTCGCCCGATTTGAATCCACTTGGCTTTTCCATGAGTCCTGAAGACAACGGCATATGCAAAGCCGCAAGTTTGGCATCTCTTTATCTTCTCCTGAAGAAAGTTAAGCTGAATTGGATGCACTACTGTACTTGAACGGCTTTAGCTCTTGTACGAGTTCTTGGACCACTGTGCTAGACTGTGCTTGGACCACTGTGCTAGACTGTGCTTGGACCACTGTGCTAGACTGTGCTTGGACCACTGTGCTATAGTCCGACAAATCTTGTGCCTCCTCAAAAATCATTCATTCGATTTTCAGGTAACCATATCTTTTGAAAATTCTTTTGAAAATTCACTTTTGAAAAGTTCATTTTTGAATTTTCTCAGATTCTCTTAGATTTTCTCAGATTTTCTTAGATTTTCTCAGATTTCCTCACTTCAAATTTCATCCATCTGACCCACGACCCCTAAATAAGGGCTTACCAGGGATGAGGGCAAAAAAACGGACAAAAAAAATGTGTCTGCGTTCCAGGGTGTTTACGTGAATTCATCCCCGACCAAGCCGAGAAAAAGGGAAAAAGAAAAAAAGGGAAAAGAAGATAAATGGGAAAAGAAGAGAAATGGCAAAAGAGAAATGGGCGCAAAGAGAAATTTGTAGAGAAATGGAAATATTGGAGGGAAATTGGAGAGTGAGAGGGATCTCGGCGATCATAAACCACTCGGCATGTCACGGGGAAAAGGATGGAAAGGGAGAAGAGGGAAAAGCCCTGAAAAAGGCCCTCTTTCAATGGCGATGGCGGCTGCAAGGGTCCCCCCGAAACATATAGAAAACAACTATGGAAAATCGGGGCGCCCTTCTCTCTTTCCATTCTCCTTTTCCACTCCAAAATCCCTCGGAAAGACCAGCCGATCTTTGTCATAGCATTTTTCCAATTTCCAATTTTTCAGTACAAACTTGAGTCTCTTTTGATGATCGTATATTTTTGCTCTTTACCAGTAGAGCAGTAAGCCAGTAAGCCAGTAGAGCTAAATTGTGCACAGGCAATACTCGAGCTATTCAGCACTTGTAGACCCGAAAATTAGTCTAGTTCTAGTGCTGGGTCTACTAGTATATAAGGCAGCGTATATAAGCTGGGGTATAGAAGGCTGCGTATATAAGCTGGGGTATAGAAGGCTGCGTATATAAGCTGGGGTATAGAAGGTTGCGTATATAAGCTGGGATATCTAAGCTGGGGTATGGAAGGCGGCGTATATAGGCAGCGTATATAAGCTGGGGTATGGAAGGCGGCGTATATAAGGCAGCGTATATAAGCTGGGGTATGGAAGGCGGCGTATATAAGGCGGCGTATATAAGGCAGCGTATATAAGCTGGGGTATGGAAGGCTGCGTATATAAGATGGCTTATATAAAGCGGCGTATATAAAGCGGCGTATATAAGGCTGCGTATATAGGGCGGCGTATATAAGGCTGTCTACATAAGGCTGTCTATATAAGGCTGCGTATCTAGGGCAGCGTATATAAGGCGGCGTATATAAGGCTGTCTACATAAGGCGGCGTATATAAGGCAGTCTATATAAAGCGGTGTATATAAGGCGGCTTATATAAGGCAGCGTATATAAGGCAGCGTATATAAGACGGCCTTTATAAGACGGGTTAGATAGGGCTATAGTATGCTACAGTATGCTGACCCTAGAAACTACGGTACTATAGCTTCTTCTTTTCCATTCCATCTTGCTGTTTCATTTCCAAGTTTTGGAGTTTTCCAACTTTCATTTCCAACTTTCCTTATTTCCTTTCAA